AGACCCTTTTCACAGCAGCCATTTTGACATGAAATAGTAGGGTAAACACAGGTATAACTAATGATACTAATTAAGGTTTTGTTCCATTTAGTGTAGCGGAGCCTTTCCAGTGAGACAGCATGCACAATAGCAGCACCCTGACTCAGTCTGACTCGAATGCAACGTAACCTTAATTAGTATCATTGACAACACCTTTATTTACCCTAATATTTCATGTAATAATGGCTGCTGTGAAAAAATGTCTGTTGCCCTATTTTAGAAATCTGTCTGTACCAGGATAAATTCAAACCAGGTGTCATATAACTCCCATGTTTATTTATCTTGACACTCTCATTGTATCCTTGATTATTAATTAACTTAGAAACCCAAATACCAATTTTTATAAAATAATTAATAAAGTAGCTTTTGTTGGTGTTGCTGTTGTAGAAGTGGCTCATGCTCTGATCAATGAGGTCAATTTACAAACTGTGGTTGGGTCTGTACATTAGTGAAAGTACAGAATAAGGTTTTAATGCAGGAGTGAAAACAAGGAAAAACATGTCGAGACTAATTTCACATCCTGTTTTTCTGTGTGGGAGGAAATATTTTTTAAAAAGCTGATAGTGCTGGAAATGGTAACTGTACATCCTTATCACTGTGTTATTTGGACAGTGCATATAGTATGTGCAAAAACAAACTCTAAGGCACCAAAAGAGACTACAGAGCTGACTGACAGGTGATCCAGCTGTGCCACCATCATAAAACTGACTTTAGATGACGCTTGACTGGAAAGGACATCTAATTTTTCGCTTTTCCTCGATTTCTCTCTCTCGCATCTTTTCCTTGCATCTCTCGTCATGTCTTCAGTGGGAGGGACTAAATGCAAGTGAGGGAGATCTGGATGCAATTAAGTGAATTGAGCCGCATCCTGTGACTGCATGAAAAGAGCCAGGCATATATGAGACAGTTTTCATCTGTGACAACCATCACATCCAATGGCATTTTCCTCCCTGTGTCTCCAGGGGACCTCTTAATTGATTCTGTTGACTGGACTTGCTGCATTTACAACATCATCATTTTAGTGCTTTTCTGCAGCTTGCAAGTGGCTGAAACCCCGAATGGAGTTTCTAATGGATTTTTATAGCAGAAATCGTTGTGTGACCAAAGCCAACCATGGTGTCCTATTGGGAGATGTGTTCATTAAACCTCCCATTGATCCAGGCTGGTTTTTCCCTACTGTGCTGAAGAAAAGTCTTTTGTTTAAAACCGAATAGCGCTGCTATTAACCCCCCCGAGGCAGCAGACACTTAAAGCAGCAGTCAACTTTTACGTGGAGTGACTTTTTCATTCCCTGCAGTCTTTTTTGCTCTGGTTTTCAGTCCACATTATTCAGTTTTGCCCTCCTACACTAACTCCTTCTGGATATTTTTCTTGTTTCTCCACCTCTCTCTTTTCCTTCCTTGTTCTTTTAAGTTAGTCGCTTCTTTGTTTCAGTTCTTTCCACCCACTCACATCATAGTACACCTTGTGCTCTCTTCTCTTCTCTTCTCTTTTCTCGTCTTCTCTCGTCTTCTCTCCTCTTCTCTCCTTTTCTCTTTCACCTCATTGATTAAGGTGTTCTTGCCATTTGTTGTTTTTGATCACTGGATCTATTTTTAAACTACTGATGTTGCAGCTGCAACAGCGGCTTAAAGATCTAACAAAGGCTGGTTCACACTTTAACCTTGTGTCTTTTTCCTATCTCTTTGCAGTCATCCAGCTCATCCCAGGAGCGTCTGCACCAGCTGCCCTTCCAGCCGACCATGGACGAGTTGCACTTCTTGTCCAAGCACTTTGGCAGCACAGAGAGCATCACGGACGATGACGGGGGCCGACGCTCGCCGCACGTCCGCCCTCGCTCTCGAAGCCTCAGGTGAGAGCACTGCGGGTCAGGGGCAAAAGACAATTTTAGCAAATGAAGACCCTCCCCCATCACCACCACCACCACCAATCATTTTCGATTATTTAAAAAAGATGCCAGCGTTGCTCAAAGCCTTGTTTGTAAGTAGTTGATTTTATCTGGTGAAGAAAAAGAAACAAAACCAAAATTCAGCCTCTTGAGTTTTTATGAAAGGACTTTAAGCTGCCCTTTAAGAATATGAAAAGGAAGCCTCAATTAGTGTGCAGGAACAAGAAGAGATGCAGAGGGCTCTCAATCATTTATTTAGAGCTCAAGCCTTTTTGTTGCTTATCTTGTATAATTCACCTTCTGTGAATGTGTCAGTGCTGTTGAATGCTTCATTTTCTGCCATTTGATTTTCATGCTCCTTTCATGAAAGACAATAGTTTGCAGTAAAATGTATGAATGAGGTGAATTGAAAGTAAAAACAGTTTTCCTGTTCATGTAAATCTACAAAGACTGTTTTCTTCTGGTTTTCTCACCTTCCAAGGGAAGCCTTTGTTGCTAATGTGTCTGAATATAGTCTATATATAATAGTATTATTATTATATATTAATAAAAAGTAATGGTAGAAGTAATCAGATCATTAACTAAGTAAAAAGCACCAATACCAAGTCTAAAATACTCAAAAATAAGCAAAAGTACCACATTCAACATCTTACTAGTAAGTAAAAGTACATAAATATTACTGGCAAAATGTAGCGGAAGTAGTAGTATTTGGAAGTATCCAAAGTGAAAGTACTCATTATATATATTATTATACAGTATATTATATTGGATTGCTTTTAGCAGCATTATTATGTTGTAGCAGATCAACGGGTGGCCAATTCTAACTACTAATTAAAGAAGAATAGGTCTGATGATGAAAACACCAAACCAACAATGAACTGAGTCTATTAACATGTCCTGTTTCTTATATTTGAATATGTATAATACATACTGTTTGTGTAGCCAAATCTGATACAGTTTATTCCTCTGTGCCACGGATCTCCATTGTTGTCCAAAAACAAATACAAACACATTAATGAGCTTAATGAGGAACTTGTCACCCTGTTGCACCGGGTGACAAGTTCCTTTATTACCATTAAGACTGTTGTTGTTTTTTGGCCAATCCCACCACCGTCCTGCTGCTGTAAACACTCATCACAACATCAGATATGTATTCAT